CTCATCCGCGTCGGTGGACCTGCTCGCTTTGATCTGCGAGGCGAGCTCCCCGCATCCGATCTGGCCGTCGAGATACCTGGCGCCATGTCGCTCGCCAATAATCTCCGCTTCGTCCGTCTTCTTCGAATCGATTTTCTCGGCAGTCTCTCCGCGGGCATCGTGATCCTTCGTAATCCTCTCCAGGCCCTGGTAAACGCTGATGTTCACCGAGTTCTCACCCGTCGCGTTCTCTGTTGTTCCAAATCCACCAGGATCCGACCCAGGTTGACTTCTCTCTCCGACGTCGAATCGGACAAACTCGGAGGTGACCGGATTCTCGAAGTTCTGCTTTAGACCGAGCACTCCATTCCCCCTCTGCGGACGCCGTCGCCTCAACTTCTCTCTCTCAAGAGCCAGGCTCCCTCGGAGATCATCAGGAGCAGAGCTTCCAAACGCAGCTTCGACCTCATCTCTCGCGTCGTTTCGCTCCTCCTCCTCCTCAACCAGGCAGGAATTGCCATCCTCCAGACCCGATTCGGCTCCCATGCTAGTGATTTCTGACTCCTTGTCTTCCGCGAAAGCTCCCGTCTGGTTCTGAACAGTGTCGTCATGCGCTTCTTCGAGTCTCTTCGGAGCTCCGAGCTCCCCATCCACCACGCTGAGCTCTCTCAGATCGTGCGGAGCTCCTGTTGTTCCGTCGCGAGCCTCCGGCGATTCCACTTTTATATCGCTGGCATTCAATTGAAATCCGTTCGAGACCCGCGGGACTTTCCGCTCTTCTTCATCATCCACTGGCCTCCTCTGAGCCGCTCCGGCGTCCGGGAACCCTAATCCTGAGAAAACTTCACGAGCTTCGGTCCTGACGTTCCTCAATTTCCTGCTCCTCTTCTTTTTCTCCGAGATAAGTCCTTCGTCGAGCCCAACGGTCGTATCAGGACTCGGCTCAGGGCCATGCACGTACTCTCCCTCGATCACTGTCCCGAGAGCCGGGGAGTTCGCTCCCGACGGAGTTGCTCGGAACCCGCCACCTGTTTCTACGATGTCTTCCTCTCCGAGATTGGCTTCTTGCCTCCGATGACCAATTTGCAATTCCTTCGACGAAGTTTGATCTTCAAGACTTCGATTCTGGCCGCGGACGAGTCCAGTTCCCGAGAAATCGAACCCTGCTTCAGGCTCATTGACATCTTGGGAGAACCGTCCGACTTCGAGATCGATCCTCTTCCTCCTCCTTCTCTTCCTCCGTTTCTTCTTCTTCTCGCCGTCCGAATGCAATGCTTGGGTATTTCCGTCAACTCTGCAGGCCTCCGAGGACTCATTATCGGCAGCTATGTTCTCTCCAAGAGGGTTTCCGAATAGATGCGCCTCATAGACTTGACCTCTATCTTGATGAGGGGGCTCGGATGTCGTACGGATTCTCGTGTATCCCTCGCCAGTCTCGTCGGCCACCTCCGACTTCGGCACGAGGGTCTGGGTCGCCTCGCCTTCTCGATTGATCGGTTCTCCTTGATTTATCGATGATATAATTTTTGTATGCTCTGCGTGTACCATCCCGCTCTGAGAATGGACTTCTAGCTCCGGAGTTTCGGGGAGGCAGTGTGTCGACGATTTTGCCGTCCTCTTTTTCCTTCTCCTCCTCTTCTTGACTCGAGACAGAAGGATTTCATTTGCAGATCCTGTATTCTCCACATGTTCCGCTTCCGGTTTTTCTGTCTGAATCACTCTGGCGGAATCCGCTCCAGAATCAATCCCGACAATCGCGTTTTCCATCTGTTCCTCCTCTTGCACCATCGGGAAAATGTTTTCTTCAAGACCTAATGTAGCCTTTGCTTTTCTAGGCCTATTTGTCTTCTTTCGTCGCTTCTTCTTCAGCTGCACCTCCTCTCCCGGATTCCCTACAGCGTCAGTGGGGCGGGATTCTAGTTTGGCTGTCGGAGCGCTCCTCGAATCCGAGAAGGTCTCACCCACGTCCCGCTCCGGAGTGATTTTCCGAATCGACGGTGTTGTTCTTCCTCTGCCGTCCGCTCCAGCTGCTCGGTACGAAGGAGCTCTTCCATGCTCCTCGAGCTCTATACCAGAGCCTCGATCGGCCGGTGAACTCTTGTTTTCCCAAAGTCTCCCTTTAGCCAAAGTCTCATCCGCGCTATTGAGCTGGCTCGTCTCGGGAGCGCTAAATGTAGACGCGCCACCCATGGGCTTCTCTGGAGCAGGGTCATGCTCCCATGACTGCGCTGCGCGGTCGACTACTTCACTACAGTAGTACATACCGACCTCACCGCAGCCCTGATTCGGAGTGGAATCGCAACAGGCCCCAATGTTGGCTCGGAGCTCTTCGTCGTCACCTGACTCCCGGTCCGGATGTAATATCATCTTCTTCGCTCGTGAGCAAAACGCCCCCGGAGAGCTGCCTGGATATGCACATCGTTAGACAGCAAATGACGATATCCAAGATTTGCTACGGACGGAGCATCGGATCCCCGTCGGATTAGGTAGTCGCCAGCCGCCAGCCCTTCATGGAACCTTACGGCTTACGGCCCCCGAGCGACACATCCGCCGCGCGCTTGCTCTCCGGGATTTGCTTCGGATCCGCCTTTTGAAGAAGACATTTTTCCTAATGTTTCTAATATCTACCTACCGTTTCGCGGAGTGGATACACCGTCGGCGTCCAGCGTCGTCATCGATGCTCGCACACTCACAGGCTTCGCTTCGAACCAGACTTCGTTGTTCCTCTCCTTGCGAGATAAAGTTTCTCTTCCACTAGATGACTCTCGGGGAGCTAGTCGTGGGTTGTCGTCGTGGTCAGGGTCGAGCAGCGAGCAGCTGATTGGGTTTCGGGCTTGTTCCGAACGGAGCTTCCGAACTTTCGCAACGAGCTGCTCTTCCTCATCAACACGACAATTCCCGGAATGGCTCAAAACTCTTCTCAGGTCCTCCGAACGGGGGGGACGGCTCACCGAGCTTCTGCATCCTCCCTGCCGACAGGCCAATATTTCCCGCTGATAGAAATGATTGAGAACCTTGTCTGAGGGGCGGTTTGCCGCTTCCCCTCGTATCCGTCACAAGCTTCCCCATAGCCCCATGGCGTAGGAGGGATCTTACGATTCTTCCCGAAAAAGAACATTTCAGAGAGTGATTTGCACGTGATCGGATTTTATTTCATCGTCGTTTGAACATTGAATGACGTTACACTGAGGCTGTTTACTATTCTGCATGTGTGATAGTTTCCTCGTGGAGGTTCTCGTTGTTCACTTATTTACAGCGATTGCGATTCTGATGCTACCATGGACTGCTCGTCCAGGATGTCTGCGATCAAGCTTCCACCGATTCGAAGCTATTTACACCATTTCATTCAGTGGGAGCGTGCCGCAGTATGCTACTTTCCACCACACCTTTGGTACAAATCATGAGATACTGTTCGCTATTTCCCGATCCTAAATCGTTTCGTAAGGCTCGTCAAACCTAGAGCACGTTCTCAATTCACGGATGTATATCAGTATATCTTCTTCGTCGTGGATTTCTCCACGGGGAACAGGAGGTCTGCGGGAGCATCCTGCCCTCCTGAGGCCTACGACGGTCTCGCTGTAGCCTCGAAGCGCCTGATATCCTGTGTTATTTCCACGCATCACGCAAAAACAGTCTCTTCTCTTTTAGAATTAGTGCAACAATTATGTTTTGGATAAGCCAGAAATCGCGCATACGAAACTGGGTTTATCGGTGGCCCCACCCCGCACCGAGTGCACTCGACTGGAACCAAGAGTCGCTAAAGTTCGGACACCCGTGCTTCGCTCGAAGGGCTCTCCGACAGTGACATGTCGCTCCTAGTCCTTCTCGAGAGACTCATCCGCATCAGTACGCGGGAGGAAATGGATCATGCGAAATGTCCGAATTTCAGGAACTCTGACGTGATTTTGGGAGAATAATCCCGTACAGCGTTCAATTCAAAGATTGATTATATTTACAATCAATAGTGTTTCCTATGGTGGATATCCGGGAAGCGATGGAGAATATCTACCTTATCGGGCACAAGCATTCGCTGAAGGTGATTAGATCATAATTCGTCTATCGCATCTTCACGCAATCCCTAGAATTGTTCCGGGCTAGCCCGCCATCATCGCCGTCTCCCTGTGCATAGGTGATTCACGTTCCACTCGAGAGCTGCTCTAGGGAAGAATCGCATTTGAATCTCGAAGCTCAATAACTTTCCACAAAACATCAAGGACAATGCGCACAAAACAGACAATCTGGATTTCCTCACAGCCATTCGGAGAGCATCGATGTCGAGATATAATCAAAAACGAATCGTCTCTCATAAGTCTAGAGAATAAATAAATTTATTTATGTGTATCATTTCGTCGCGGATTCCGGCTCCTGTCTTATTTCCTCTCGTGAGTACCTAAAGAATTCATCATCAGCTCCTCAACCATGCTCCGCATGCGCGCCTCCTTTCCCTCATCGTTGTCGCTATCGGTCTCAGTACGAAAAGCAGAATACATATACAGCCAGAAGCAATTGCACAAGCGGAGCAATTAATATATAGATACAATCAGCTATTGTCGATTGGGGTGAGTCCTCTCCTTGGATATCGCACGCAGCCATATCATACCGCCGTTTCAGAGAGCGCTTCTGGCGCTCACCGTCCCCATTGCTAATAATAATTATTGTCGTTGGTGCCGATAAACTATCCAAGTATAGATGAGAAGGCCGATACCGAGCAACCCATATCAATGAAGACTGGTTGTCTTCCGTTCGATTGGGCTAGATTTCGATGATGCGTTCTCATACTACGTGACATACGTATGCTGAGAAACCAATCGACCCGCTCGAGAGCTGAGCGATCCGCGAAGAATGAACTCTGAGCGAAGAGATCCATCCGTAGTCTCTTCGCCGACGCTCAGTAACCGATCGTGTCCGTAGTTCTGAGGCGGTAGGCCATCGAGAAGAGAAAGCTTGTCGGCTCGGAGTTCGATCGATACGGTACCTCCGAAATTTCCCTCCAGCTGGTGATCCTTGGTGATCCTCGGTATCCTTACTTCTTCTATTTCAGTTATGTAATTCTAGCTAGGAGAGAGTATCTGGTACTCTCAGTGCTTCGGTTGGGCGAATAGAATGCCTTGGTAGAGCACACCGTTGATTTCCATGCTCACTGGGATACCTGCATCCACTGGACGTCCATCTGGAAAGAATAGTTCAAGGTGAGACCGAATACGACGGCTGGTGGATATTTCGGAGGGGCAAAGAGTGGGTCAAGCGGGAGCCTTCGAGGAGAACATTCAGCGACGATGAAGATTCAGAATTGTCGGTCGAATACGCGACTCGCGAAGCTTTGACAGATGGGGAAATTCGGCGGGTCTCACCTTTGCCAATGATCGGTATCTTCATATGATTTTTCAGAAGTTCTTCGGTACACAGTTTTTTCAAGTGATTTGCGGGATGCTCCGGCGGGCTAAGCTGATCCAGAGGATTCAAACCTCGTTTCAAGGACGACGGCAGAGGCTGAGATTGAGGGAGCGAAAGTAGTGGGGGAGATTTCCGCTCTGTCTTTACATCAAGGTTCAAGGCTTGCTCTTGGTTCAATGGCGTTATGGATCCGATGCTATTGTCTTCATCGCCTGGAATATCAAGGACGAAGAGTCAGTCACGCAATCAGAGAGGAAGATGGGTAAGCATTTCACCACCATTCGATTGGTCAACCGACGGAACTCTCATTTAGACAAGAATTCCCTGAATCTCTGCTGATGAGAGTCATCCGAATTTCTCTCGGAGGACCGAAGTCAAGGGAGTCCGAGGGAAGACTTTGTGGCGAGTCAGCACTTGAAGAATTTGTTTGATTTGCTGAGCGACCAGCGAAAAACAACATCCGTCCACGTCCACGCTTCTCGTTTTCGTTCGTCCCTCGTTGACTGACTTTTAATAGAGGCGAGTTCGTCATTAATTCAGCAACATAGGCTCCCCGTGGAGTTGTCTGGCCGATCGCCTTTGCTGTCGCCTCCTTCTCTTTTTCTACTTCGATTTCTTTTCCTCCCCTTATTCAATCACCAAGCCATTCCGTCCGGCGGAGAATATATTCGTGAGCGAGTCTACATGATTCTCACAGATCTTATTAAGGCTCGCGAAGGAGGGGGATACGCTTCTCCAAACTTTCACGCCTCATCATCTGACTCTTGCAGCTTGCAGAGGATATTTTTTTCACGATTGAGCACGATTCCAGAGAGTTCGATAGTCTCATCACCCCGACCCCTGTCTGATTGTGTGGAGATGAACTCGAACCCGGGAGGGAGCTGCTCCATTTCCTCAGGGACGAGGTCGCAGGCGTATGACTTCGATTTTTCACTTCGAAAAGGCAAACGGAGCAGGATGAACAACGAACCGTGAATCGAATCCAAACGAGCCGTTTGACAGAACAGAGAGAATAATTCCACCGAAGGAGACGAAAACGGGAGGGAAACAAGAAGGCGATAGAGACACTCCGTTAAATCCTCTATTCGACCGATTATCGTCATCTTCATCGCCGCTGACACGGTAGCAAGAAGAGGAATTTAGAATTTTGATCTCTCAACCTCTGTATACGTTCTTTTTGTTTCGAATTTCATTTTCTGGTCTATCCGTTTTATATGTATTCTGTTGCTTCTCTCTTTTCATTCTGTTCAACGGCGTCGTCTTCAGTTTTCTTCATTGCTGATTTTCGCAGCGGGGGAACTATGAAGACGATCAGGCTAGTGATGATGATGCGAACGAAAAGCTTCCTTCGCATCTCATGTGATTTAATTTTTTGCTACTTCGGTCCTTCTCCGTCGTCGTCTTGTTGTTTCTGTATTCGTTCTTCTGCTCTGTTCTTTTCGTCCTCTTCTGAGGTTACAGCGAGTGATTTTAATTGAAAACTCGTGCGTCGCTGGGCTGGTTCTCTTCGGCGCACAGATCTGTCGTTTGTCGTCGATGAAGACATCTTGTCGAGCTGGTTGAGAGATTTGTTCCGTTCTGCCATGATCGTTTTCGGTTCGACTTTTCTTTCCTCTCTCACAGCTCCTTTCGCGTTAGTTCATTCTCCGCTTGGATTTTTCCCGTCTCCTTTGCGGCTGATCTATCTCATCTCCATCAGCGGCAGGATCTCTCAACGCCCGAAGATGAGACGCCTCCCGACGTGCTGCCGCGTTCCGAAATGCGGGAAGGGCTCTCGAGGCGACCATGGCCGGATGAACCGGATGGTGCGTGCTGCATGATTGACGCAATTTCAACCATTGGAATCACCCTCTCGGTCGCAAGCTTCCCGGATTCGGGGTAACTCGGGGACAGAAGCTTGGACCCACAGAAGGGAGCGCATAGGAGTTAATCAATTAGGGAAAAAACGGAATCAAATCAATTAGCGATCTGTCTCCCCGTGCCTCCTCCCCGCCCCGCCGCGGTCCGGGTTCCGATCTTTAAGCGACGTTCATGGCTTCTGGAAAGCGAGTGTTCTCACGCATTGGCGAAACATTGCAGAAAAGAGTTGATGAATTGACGGATAGCTTCAACCATCAGGAAGGCACGGCAATGATTCGGGTGATTACGGCTCACTGGTGATGTCTTCACCGAACGCGCTCCCTCGGAAGGAAAAGCAATTTTTTTGCAGCGTGTTCTCCCTTCACCTCTCCGCCTCGACCGGCTCAATCAATTAAAGAGTGGCTGAGGACTAGCGATAACACGAACGTCCATCGCGTCGAGCGGCTCATCATCTACATCATCATCCGGAAAATCAATTTTTATCGTCCCTGCCCTCAGAAGGGAAGAGCATCGGCGAAATTTCGAGCATCCAGTTCTACGGCGTGAAGTGAACGACTTGTTCGGTTCGCCTGCGGCATCGCAATAATTGAAGTCTTCATTCGGAATCGCCATACCCAGGGAGATTCAGAAAATAGAAGAAAAATGTTGAGAAAATACGACGGAGAGGGAATGAAACGAACGTGTTCGTTTGATCCGTTGTTTGCCAGATTCTATTCCAAGCCATTTCTGGCTCTAGCGGGCATCTCAACATCTTTCACTCCTTGTGCTGAATAAGACCTCCATTGTTTTCTTTTTCGACCATAATTTATGCATTCGACGCTCTTTGCGCCCGTTTTTCGTCGTCGTTGTTGGTTCACCGTTTTTATTCTCTTCCAATGACGAAGCTCCAAGTCGCGCAGAGCGATCTGCTGGCTGGACTTTTTCGGATTGATATCAAGTTTCCCTGCCTCCATCGATATCCCCGTTCCCCCGAGCCAAACATCGAAACAGACATCCGATCGGAGCCGACTGAGACGGTTTCTGCCTTACTTTCCGGAGAATGAATCCACCCCACCGAGAGCTTCAAACCCATCATCTCTGCGCGTCACCGTCCCTGCCCGTCCCAGCAGACCGCCGGGATCGCTTGTGGGGTCGATATCCTCGCCAGGCTCCTCAGAGCTCTCCGTAGAACGTCTCGATTTCACTCAAGATTGTCAATGACGACTCCCGACGATTCTCTGAGTCCCACCGAAGGATTCCATCCTGAAGAGTCACTAACGTGTGGTAGGTACTTCCGGTCCGGGAGCTCGTCGAGAAGCTCCGTCGGATAACGATCCTAGAAGCGCATTGGACATAAAAACCACAAACGGTGGGGTTCGTTCGCACCGTACATGTGGCCGCGATTTCCGCATCCAGCAGGCCGAACAGAGGGCTCAGCATCTTAGGAGCCGGCGGATGGTCGACAGGATTGACAGACGGACGGACTGAATGGCTCGTAGGCTTTCATTTCAGTGAGCGGACGGCAGTGATGACCACTCCCTGAAACCGATCTCCCGAATGCGCCTATGCCACCTGGTGCGTCCCGCAAGAACAAGACATTGGTGCCTTCACCGGTCGAAGAGCCCGCCGGACGTTATTACGATTACGTGGACTATTTGTGGTTTGACAGTTTTTGAGCAACCTCACTCGTCGCTATCCGATGCGTCGATGAGCATTCGGCTCCGGGATCGAGCGACAATCGCACCTCACCTCACTCCCGCAGGACTAGGAGGGAGCCTAGGGAGCCGCGTTGATGATCAGTAGAGAGGTCACCTAATTAACCAACCAACCGACCGACCGACCGACCAATCCACCGACTAAGCGAGCAACAATTTCAAAAATCGGTTTAGCCGCTCGTTGCTCATTGGAGTGCCTATCCACTCCGCGGTGAAACATGCTCTCATTGTTTCTCGATTTGATTCTGTCATTCATCAATCGTAGGAGACGACGGATAGACGAAGCCACTCGTGAGGTGAAGATGTATCTGGCGCATCTGCTCAAAACAGCCGATCTGCGCCAAAACGATGAGACGAATTGAGCTAGAATCCACGGCGTATGGAGGATGAGAGGGGGAGAGAAAAGGCAAACAAACACTCGTATACGACATACAGACGTAAATGCTAACAAACAAATCAATTTCAGAGGCCCTCGTCTTCAACTAACCCCAGCAGGAGGAAGGATTTCTCTCTGTCTCTCGTTCCCAGTTAAACCTGCAGAGCTCGTCTAACGCGGCTCTTAGCGGTCATGCTTCGTTTTCGCCTTCTTTTTCCCCGCTCCTCCTCATTCTTTTTTTTTCATATTTCGTTTGTAATTTTAGATTCGATGCTCGGGCAGACGACGGCGGCGACGTCGACAACAACAACGTCCGCGGCAGCGAAGGTAGCTCTGCGCGAGCCAGGCAGTTCGCCCAATGGGGTCTGGACGACAGATGATAAATGTGAGACCGAGTTGATCTGCTTGCCTTGGGAGCCAATCGTAGCCGGTCTGGCATCAAGAATCCTCTTCGGTTGGTACTCGCCAGCAGCAGCAGCCGAACATCAGAAAGCATAGCCAACCATGAAATCGAAAGACGCACGGACGGACAGTCCGACCGACCGACAAATAACAAATCCTCCCGTACAGCGATAGAGTCATCAAACATGGAGCGCGTGGATGACCGGAGCAGACTCACGGGGTGAGATTAGGTATTTTCATCTGCTCACTGCGGGGGAGACTCGCGAGCGAGTGCGCGAACCGATGGATGAACGGGATGAGCAGACAATTCATGAGCAGTTATGGCGGCGAAAGGGAAAGAGCAAAACGCTTCATGAATATGGACAGGGCGAGTTCTGACCGAGATGGATCTCAGAGTTGAGCTCTTCGGAAAGTTGACCGATCGCAATGGGGGAGAGATACCTGGGTCCCGCCGACGGCTCTGGGGCAAAATGAATGAATGAACTCACCGGATGACGTCCCGAGGAAATTGTGGTTGTTATTGTTGCTGTTGTTGTTATTATTGTTGTTGTTGCTGCTGCTGTTGTTCAAACTGTTGTTGCTCCCGTTCAAGCCACCGTTCAGCTGCAGGAGACCTCGGTGGGAAACCAGCGATAAGGGAGGGTTGTTCGGTGAGCGAACTTGTGACGAAGAAAGCATATCATTGAAGTGGTTGTACGACGATCGGCGACCTTCGCGTCGATTGCCGTCTATAGCCGCCTGTAGTTCCTCAGGTTCGCTCAACTTCTCCTTTGAGCACTCGTACGGGTACAGGTATTTCATGTACTGGGTGCGCAACGTAAAAGCTGCGGAGGTTATGCTCGACGGCAAATTGAGACCTTTGGTGATTTCCCTCCAGATTTTCTTGTTGATCACTTCGACAAGACCTCCCCGTGCAACAACCAGTCGGTATAACTCGTAGAGATCCAGAACTTGCTTCGCCATGATCGGGATCCGATTGACTGGTGTGCCTGGAATTTAGAAAAATCGACGTTTGAATTAAGAGCATCGGAAGAGAAATCGAGAAACACTGCGGATCTTTCTCAATGTTGCCTCATTAAGAGGTGAGAGTCTGGCGCTCAGTCAATCCCGCACTCGGAGAACTTCCGTAAGAAGATCCTGTCGGAGAGTTCGCAGGAGCGGAGAGTTCGTGTCACATAAAGCCGCGACTGAAAGGTAGTGTTCGAGCACGATCCGTTCCCGGGTCGAGTGGAAACCTCAGTTCAGGTTGACATTTTTTTCAGTCATCTGTCTTTCGTATTCGAACGTCGAAACTCGGTCGATCGGTGTTGTCGGGCTTTCCCCTCGAAGGCGGCAGGACTGGGAAAGGTGTCAGACCCAGGGTGGCGGTAGCGCTGCAAAGCGGGCGACTGTCGCCTCGACGCTTGTCAAAAGCGGAGCGCATCAATCTAGAGGCAGGCGGCAGGCGTAATATAAGTCTGATATTAATGCTATGTGTCATGAATGCTGCCGACAACGCAGCAACCAGTCAGGCCCGGTAACAAGCCAGCGAGCGAGAGAGCGAGCACCCTAGACCCATCCATCGATAAGGCTCGATCTATATATAGATCATCGTATAACCTTCAGAACCGAAAGCTCTGAGCTCACGCTCGAGCATCGAGATCTCGGAGGAGAGAGAAAAGTCACAGTCGGTGATGTGGGAAAAAATGAAAATTGTCCACGAATCCCAATAGTGTCTCTGATCCCTCTCGATACCGCCCGGATTATTCGAGAGCCCGTACGCCAATTATTCGAAGGGAGAGGACGCGGATCCGTTGCGCAATCGATGCCGTGGACCAACACGAGCTTGGAACATTTTAACGACTAGAGAAGCGTTTCCCCTTTTTCGCTCCCTCCTCGAAGAAGCTCTTCTCCGACGTTTCCTCACCGATGCTGTATCAACAACACCTCTCCTGCAGCCTACTATGTAGCAGCGAAATGGTAGCAGTCGACTGTGTTTACCATTCAATTAGTTTCAGAGCTCCCCTCTCGCTGTATCTGTCGGTTGGTAAGACCACCCCGAGCTCTCCCCCCCCCTTCCGCCGCCCGCCTCCTCCCCAGCCGGCCGGCCGGCCGGCTGGCTCGGTCTAAACCCCTCCCCTGTCCACCTTCAGGGTTTCGGAGCTAGTTCAGTTTGTAACTCGAGGCAGTTATAGAGAAAATTAGCGAGAGATAAAGCGGGAGCACGCGGGTTCAACGACGACGGCTGCCCGAGCGCGGGAAGGCGAGCGAGCGTGCGCTCTCGCAGTCGGAGGATTCCCTCCAAAAACAAGCCGGCGACATTTGCTCTGTTTGTGAAAATGTTTGTTCTCGTGCAACTCGTCGTTCGTGCACTCTCAATTTCACTGCCGGTTGGCGAGCAAACTTTGCCCGAAAAGAGCCTCGAGATGGTTATAACTAGTTTACGCCGGGCGCTAGCGCACGAGCGCGCGCCACCGAGAGACATGGTGGAAGGGGAGGATGCGAGGGGATAAGATGAGGGGGTTGCAAGAACATAACAGTGGGAGAGATGGAGGCTCCAGGAAAGAAGTGAAAGACGACGCAGCAACAATCGTTTGTCCTCCTCGCGATTCTCCCTCACACTCGTCTTTCCCTGACTCTTCTTCTCGGAGTGGCTCCTTGGACTCGCGGCGCGTTCGACTCCGAGCTCAACAAACGTACCAAGTTGACGAACGCATGTTTGACTACGACTTCGCTGACGAGCAAATACGTAGTTCTTCGTGATAGTTCCTTCCGGAGCAGGGAGTCGACAAATTCAATAACGGAGCTCTGGGTATCCCATCACGGAGGGATCTACTGGTTCCTTGAGAACCAGAACGCCCGACCGGTGGAGCGATCTCGTATTTGGTGCGTGTCAGCTTCGGATCGGTCGGTCGTCCAGGGCGGTTCTATTGTCGCGGTGGACTCCGATTTCCGTCGCGGGAAAATATTCGCACGGATCGATGGATGGATCGACCTGCAGGCAAGCAGGCAGGCAGGCAGGCGGTCGAGCAGTCAGACGATCGAGCTGACTGACTGGGGAGCGAATGGACCGACAAAAGAACGGACAGGAAAGCGAATCTATCGAGAATGACGAAGCCATCGTGAAGTCTCAATGGAGATGAGATATCGGCCACAGCAGCAAGGCAGGCTCTTCTTTCCGTTTTTATCCTCTTCAACAAGCATTACGAAGCCTGTCTTCTGAGTGAGCAGAAGGAGACAGACCCACAACACCGACAGCGTGGACAACGAAGAATAAGTTACGCATCGTCAGCACGCTGTGATCGGAACTTCGAGCGAGAGCCTAAGCGACCCAGGGAGAGAGAGGGGGAGCCCAAGAGCAAACCAGAGACACTTTCACAACCAGCTAGCCATCCATCGAGGTCCGAATAGTGGGAGCAACACCACCGCCACTACTTTGAGGAGTACTATAACGACCAGAGCGACTTCTACGTCTGACGAGGCTCGTTCATTCATTCATTCAAAGCCAAGTTCATTCATCGGAGCATTCAGCGAAGAAAAAATGCCTCAAAAAATGACTCAGCTGCTACTATCATTGAGAGCGAGGAATACATCGAACCACCCAAGTTACAAGCCGATTGACGATCGACGGAGTCGGTGCTCGACTGAACGTTCGATGTAGTTACTCGAGCATCGTGTCGTGAGACCTCTGAATGGCCCCGAATCGCCCCGAAAACCCAATGCCGCTGATGATCAGCATGCCCAACATTTTTGGCTGCATATATCTATGTACGATAGCAAGGTCCGTGGAAGACTCGATGAGTTCAATGGAGGATCCCGAGCTTTTTCGAAATAATGATTCAAGTGACCGCCGGGGCGATAATCCTCGACTCGGGCAGCACGTGGGCACGTTGGCGGGAGGAAAACTCCCGGAGTCAGTCAACTCGATATTCGGCGAGCATCGACCATAAAATCTCTGGAAAATATAATCCGTGCCAGAGCTCCCTGATCACTCTGGCCTACGCATCAACAGCGCTATGAACTGAGTCAGCCAGATGAACCCAAACCGAACGTCAATCCCATCAAAAAGCTTTTACGGTCACATTGACTTTCGTGACCTTCCGAGTCGTTTCAATCGGCAGCGAAATTCAATCAGACAAACCGAACGCGAGAGAGATATTGACAGACTACAACCAGCGAACGGAATAGACGAGTCTTTACTTTATTGCCCTCATGAACTCTCGGTTACTTCTATTCTTCGTAGTGCCTGCTTCTTCATGTAGAAGATTGTTGTGGCTTAGCGTAACCCCATACGACTTTTCAGCTTCGGTTCAGGTCAGAACTAGCGCAGAACAAACGAAGCTCGACGATGTCTGCGCAGCGTCGTCCGGATTGTATCTTCACTCCGACGTCTCTCGAGGACACTGCCGAAAACGCTCAGTGACCTCAAACGTCTCTCGAGACCCTTCGCATCTGCGTCTTTTTATATGATACGGAATAGTCGTCCGAGAGATTCGTTTCCCGTATCCCGCACGGCCCTGCCAGACTCAGTTAAAACTGCGAGCAACTGACGGTGAGAAGGAATTGCTCAATCGGGAGGCGCTGATTTCGAACGATCTTCGAGCTGAATCCACATATCCGGGCCAGGATTTCCCGGTAAGTCTCCGCTTTGTCTCGACGCGCGATGAGATTGATAGCTCCGATGAGAAGCTGAGAAACATTATTCCATCCCATTCGGGGCCGGATTGATCGCCTGGAGTCCAGAGCGATTCGCGTCACGCCGTGCAACTACGTGATCGAGTTAAGGCTATGAGTGTCTCACATCACGAGCCAACTTCACAAAAGATTTAGAGCAGACTCAAATCGCATGGGGAGCCGGATCCTCCAGACGGGAGGGGATGCCTCCACGAAAACCCCGCGCTCCTGTGACCACGTTGCTAAACCGGATGGACGAGGAGCAGGAGAGAGAAGATGCGGAAGGCGCTCATTAGCGCGTCAGCAATACAGCTATCCTTTGATGCGAGCTCGATGTTAACAAGGAACCGCAACAAATACATCGGACTCCAAGTCAATGGCATCCTCGGGCTGCCGCACGTTCGTTCAAACACGCCAGGCGAAAGCAGACGAGATAGTTTTATTAAAGACTCCGAAATGCACATTCATCGTTTTCTCTCTCGGGGCTCGACTTCATTCAGAACATCTCTGCTGTCCCGGAGAGAAGGAGCCTCGCTGCAGCATTCCTTCTGAACGGAAAGAAGCGCTGGAAGGCTCCTCGTACGCCGAACTCAATGGTCAGAGTCAAATTAATGGCAGGAGGACGCTGTTTTTTCGAGAAAAATTACATCGGTTCTCTGTTGAACGTCCTCGAGGGGTCCGGGGTAGCTATAGAGTCCCTTAACGACGGCTTCACGTAACGCCAGAGGAAGCTCTCCGGATGAGCCAAGAAAGGAAATCCCACCCCGCGAGAAGGCTTCCTCTCTCGCGGCCAGATTTAGCTCAAGTTCGAGCTCGTCGACCGCCTGATCGCAATGACTCATATCTGATGAATGTCCCGAATGAAGCGATCTCGAATGCGGCCAGATTCTATATCCTCAAAACAAGGTCCTGAGTGGTTGGCCTCTCTTCTAAGGTAGGTAGTAGGTAGCTTGCCTCGCTTCGCCAGTCCGTCTTTTTCTCTCGTTGACGACGACGGCCGACACAGAGGAGGCGCCATATCACACCTCTTAAATCACTTTATATTTAGATCTCTCCCGCCTTCGATGCTTCTTCTTTTTCTCTCCGCTGGATCTGAATGTGACCAACCAAACTGCTGGCCGGCCAATCGCGCGCTCACCCGCTCGGACGGGCGGCCGATCTGCCTGTCGGCAAATAGGCCCGCCATCCGAACGACCGCCCGCCCGTCCGCCCGCCGACCGGCTCGCCTGACTGTCTGGAAGCTGCTCACTGTCGGCCCGAGTGCTTTCCCCGTAGGCAACGAGATTTAGACTGATTCATTCTAAATCTCTGCTCTTCCGTGCCTCTACAATGGGTA